ACGTTTTCACGCATGAAGGCTGCCAATAGAACTTGGAGAGAGAAATGCGCCCAAAAGGCAATTGAGGCAGAAGAGAAAATGGGTGGAGACCCCTTTACAGACTATTATTGGGCCCAACAAAGGAAACAAAATCTGGCTCTGTTGGAGGAATTGGAGCAAAACAAGCAGAAACAGTGGTTGGAGTGGCTAAAAATTAGGGGTCTGATTGGGTATGATAGGATGACAAAATTTACTTTCAGGTCCCTCATATTACGCCAATCCAAACCCATGATTATGGCGGTAGCTCATCCTGCGAATCCGGAGGTTCCCATAGCTAATGAAAAAGAGGACATGTGTCAATACGCAAGGCATTATTTTGCAGACATTGTCACTACTAGATTCCCGGGAGACACGATGGATTCAGATCTGTCATTGACCTCCCATTTTTTAGACTCGTTACACTCCATCTTGCCATCCTCTGTCAGAAATAGTTTGGACATACCTTTCTCTCCGCAAAAACTATATGAGGCAGCAAAGCAGATGGTGAAAGGGAAGTGCCCTGGGTTGGATGGGCTTCCAATAGAGCTGTTTGTGTGCACGTGGGATGTGTTTGGCCCTTTTTCTGTCAAATCTTCAATAATTCATTGAGGACGGACAAATTGCCCAAGGGTTGGCTTAAGGGGGTGATATCTCTCCTATATAAAAAAGGGGATAAGAAGGAAGTAACAAACTATAGGCCGATCTCGGTGCTAAATGTAGCTTACAAGATATTCGCCAAGGCTTTAACACTGAGACTAGTCAATTTCTTACCCCAACTTATAGGGTGGGAACAGGGCGCCTTCGTTAAGGGGAGGACAATCTTTGATAATATAATGTCTACCATCCAAGCGCTAGAAATAATAGCAGAGGAGAAGAGATAAGTCGCGATCTTGTTGATTGGCATGGAAAAAACTTACGACAAGGTAGGTTGGGCTTTTGTCTTCACCACCTTGTCCAAAATGGGATTTGGAGAAGGTTTCTGTAACTGAGTCAAGGCCATGTATGTGGAGGCAACGCCTGTTGTCATGGTAAATGGTAGACTGTCTGCGGCTTTCCCTCTGACAAGATCTCTTCGTCAAGGCTGCCCCCTAGCCCCCTTGTTGTTTGTTATTCAACTGGAAGTTTTACTGCATAACATTAGATCTAACAGTAGGATAGTGGACCTGCAACTCCCCTCCAATGTCCATTGGAAGGGGGGGGGCAATTGTGGACGACCTCATAGTAGCGAGTGCAAATACTACGGAGTCCTTTTTGGAGTTGAGAAACGTATTGGAGGAGTACTGTTTTCTCTCCGAGGCATCTATCAACTGGGAAAAATCAGTGTACATCCTCCCAACCCTATACACACTTAGCGTGGATTGGGGTCTCAGGTTGATTCCGGCCAACACCTCAGAACGGTTCCTAAGAGTCCAAATCTCGCTTTCAGACTGTGCTAGCACCCAAGATACCCTCTTGAAAGACAAAGTAATTGGACGGGTTCTGGGATGGGTCAGAAATCACAGGCTCTCTCTATTTGGGAGAGCATTAGTCCTTTCGCAGGCAGCATTCTCAATCCTGTGGTTCCCTCTTACAGTCCACTTGTTGGGGGACAAGGTCTACAAGGCTATAAAGAGGGCTGGATCCCGTTATATATGGAAACTGCAGGCAGAAGAATCTCAAGGGTTCATTACAAAAGTGGCATGGGAAACAATCACCTGTGCCAGAGATCAAGGGGGCCTTGGAATCTTGGACCCGCAACAACAAAACCTGGCTCTACTGGCAAAATGGCCGGTGATGGCGATGTTTGGCCCGAGGAGTACGCTGTGGATCGTGCTGGCAGAATATATTACGAAGCTGGAATGGAACCTACAACGGGGTGAACAGGTATGGCTGTGTTTTCAGATAAAATCCTATTGCCGGAGACATCCTAAGTCTCGAATATGGAAAAATATTCCGTATGCCTGGAATAATGCGAGACCCCAAACCTTGACTGAACCTATCTTCAAGGAGGAAATCCTAAACCAAGTCCTGTTCGAGAATGACTGGATCAAACCTGCTGGAGGGGATCCTCTGCTGGCAGATGGAAGTCCAGGGTCTTTTGGACGTACTTGGGTGGAGTAAGGTATACTTCAAGTAAGGGATTTGTGGGACCAAGAGGAAGGGGACTGGATCCCACTTCAACGCCTCAAGGAGAAACTTCCTAGACTTTTTTTTTTTTTTTTTTTTAAACGGGCCCAGTGCCCAAGGCTGATATTACGAATGAGAATATTGAGGCTGGGGTCCTCACAGTCTACCCGGAGTAACCGAAAGGACAACTGCTGAGAACTACTGAGAACCGGGCTCAGCCTCCCACATATGATGATGAAACCAATCATGATGATAGTACTAAAGGTGTTTATGCTGATGTAGTAAACTATGCTATATCTGCCAATCTGGCATAATCTGGAGACTAATTTTCAAAAGGTTAGGGATGCTACTCCGGCACACTGGCTTGCAAGCTCTCAGAAAGAATGCAGAAGCCCGACCAGGGGTGTGGCTAAAAGATGAGAAGGAGGAGGGGGTATTTTGGAAAGCGGTGGGGCCAGACCTCAGATCTGGAATAAAAGTACAGAGCTGGAAAAGAAGAAACAGTAGGTGTGACAGACTGATGTTGGTGGAAGACTGTGTAATCCCATCAACAGTGGACTCCAGAGAAGTGAGAATATGGGAATACTGCAAGGGCACAACTACTGAAGCTCGAGTACTTGATTTTGAAATAGGTTCTATGAGGATTGAACCCCTGCTGCTAGGCTGGGTGGTACCAGGACAGCAGCAGTGTCCGCTGTTTGACTACAAGACCAGAATAGGGGCTCTGCAAAGGAGTGGAAAAGCGAAGAAGAAACCAATTGCTACAGCCCTTAAGAGACTTAACGACTTGCAGATCACGGAAGTACAGGAACGGGACCTGTATAAGTTATGGAAGGCACTAAAGAAGACCCCAGCGCAGAAGCAAGCAGCTATTCAATGGCTCCAATCACTACAGGTGACACCGACGGCTACTTGGTTAAATGCAAAGGGAATGAATATATGAATGGCGGTGGGAAAACGCAGTTCATCTATGGCTGTACTGCCCCCACTCGGACAGAGTGTGGGAATGGTGGAAGGAAAATTGGAAGAAACGGACACTAATCACCGAAGAATGGACTGACTCCTCCTTCTTATATGGGAAGATTCCGGATGGGGCCAGTTTCAAAACAAGCGCATGATACATAACACTGATCTGCAGAGGAATCATCTTGGGGGTATGTGGGAAACAAGAAATGCAAAGGTATTTAAAAAGACTATAATATCCTTTCAACAGACCTTCAACACCATAAAGCAAGAGATTCGTCTGGCAATCTTAGCAGACTGGGGGAGTTGCCGCATGGGACACGAAACGAAAAACGAAACGAGTGCATCTTCCTGCAGAAAATGGCCAGGTTCATCGGTTTGCTATAAATAGTAACGAGTGTACTTTGCCACCTTTCGTGGGCAGATGCACTCGTTTCGCTTTCGTTGGGTGAGGTGACCACTGTTCTGTTTAACGCCCAGACTCCGGGTGAAAGTCAGCCGACTTAGGCTGAAAGAAAATTTCAGGCTCAGTATTGGGAAAAAGGGGCTACAACTGCTGGTGCATTTAGAAAGGGAGTACTTTTGGGTCAGTTCGTAGCAAGGACGCTGGACCTATTTTCCTTTTTTTTTTTTTTTTTNAGAGAGAGAGAGAGAGAGAGAGAGAGAGAGAGAGAGAGAGAGAGAGAGAGAGAGAGAGAGAGAGAGAGAGGATCATATCTTGTTGTCCGGATCGGGTGCGGGAGAGGTCCGTGCGGAGGTTTTGGATGGATCTGGACAGAGATCTGTCCGCATTCATCCAGCGTCCGGCCCCGGCGTCCGCATGCAATTTTCAAAGAAGAACGCAGTACTGAGAATGCATGTTTTTTTTTTTTTTTTTTTTTTTTTTTTTTTTTTTTGCTGGGTCTCTTTCCCGGCAAGTAATGATGGTTGTTTCCTTCTCAGAGCAATGTATGGAGGAAGTAGCTTTGGTTCACTCTTTTTTTTGCTTAGGAGCTGGATATACCAGCCGGTGCTTCATGGCCGTTTGGTAGAAGTCATGAGAGAGGAAGTATGAGACTCTAGACTCAGTTTCCAGCACAAGGCTAAGCAGGGTTATGTGTTATCCGAATACAAGACTCGAACACACAACCAACGGCTCGGCAGGCAAACACCTAACCATAATGGCCCCAGTTTTTTATCCGGGTTGTTTGTGAGGTTTTCCCGGCCTCGTTTTTCCGCTGGTAATAAATTTGCGAAGCTTCTACCAAAAAAAAAAAAAAAAAAAAAAAAAAAAAAAAAAAACTAGTCTCGTGAGCAGTGAACTGAAGTGAAGTGGAACGAGCCGAGGACCGCTAGGACAGCTTTTCGCTGTAGGAGGAATAGGGATAGGGTGCCTCCTGGATGTTTCCGCCGGGCCAGCGGCACGGGTTGCGTGCCCCCCATGATCACCAAATGAAATTAAATAGGCCGCTGCTTTGCGGCGGTAACAGTCAGAGTAACGGAGGCGCGCAAAGGTAGGCTCAAGCTAGCGCTTTGCGCAGCTGTAGAGCGTAATGGTCAAAGCCTGCCTGACTGTGAGACCTACAAGTCGAACAGAGACGAAAGTCGGCCATAGTGATCCGGGGGCCCCGTGTATAGTCAAAATACAAAATTGTTATTTCAAAGTGGAGCTCTCCCTCAACTAACAGAAATTCATAAAATAACACATAACAAAATTAAATTAGCTATTCGACGTCGATGGTTGAATCATCTTACACCATTGTCATTAGCTATTTGAAAAAGAATTATCGAACTGACCGCTGGAATGTCATTCAGAATTGTAGGTTGTCACTCGTCTGCTTCCCGTGGAGTTCGAACTCAGCACCTGGTCTGTATTTCATCAACAGTTCAGGGCTGCACCAAGTGGGCTAGACTACCGGTAGTTTGTGGGCGGCGGCATCTCTTGGTATTGTTGTTGATACAACTGTGCTGGCCCTGAAGCTCCGATCCCGCCTGGTCAGTCTCTCTCCCTCTCTCCCTCTCTCCCTCTCTCTCTCCCTCCCTCCCCCCTCCCCCTCTCTTCCCGAAGCCGAAAGGCGGGCTGTCCCTGTTCGTCACCGAAAATTAACGGGGGAAAGCACGGCACAGAATAACCCTCTCCGCTCTCCCCTCCACCCTGGCGTGCTCTCTCTCTCTCTCTCTCTGAAGGCGAAAGGCGAGCTATCCCTGTTCTCTCTCTCTCTCTCTCTCTCTCTCTCTCTCTCTCTCTCTCTCTCTCTCTGTGTCTGTGTGTGGCAAGCCGAAAGGCGGACTATCCCTGGTCGTTACTGGAAAACCGAACGGGGGAAACGTGGCACAAAACCCCTCTCCCCTCCTACCAGCCGTGGTGGAAGGTAGCGCGCGAAGCGCGTCACGTTTGCTGAAAATACTGTAAGTTAAGAAAAGGCGCGCCATATCTCTGTTGAACGAGTTCGAGGATGAGGGATGAGGAGGGGAGTAGAAAGAGTAGGAGGAGGTGGAGGAAGAGGAGTGGAGACGAAGAGGCGGCCGCGGCCGAGAAGGGTTGATGGCGCGCTTTTCCATTTGCGGAGAGGAGGAGGAGGAGGAGGAGGAGGAGGAGGAGGAGGGGAGGAGAGGAGAGGGGTTGATTGCGTGCTTTTCTATTCGTTTGTATTTGAAGAATAGATTGAGTAGTAGTAGTAGTAGTAGTAGTAGTAGGAGGAGGAGGAGGAGGAGGAGGAGTAGGAGGAGAAGGAAGAGGGGTAGTAGGAGTAGGAGGAGGAGGAGGAGGAGGAGGAGAGGAGGAGAAGGAAGAGGGATAGTAGGAGTAGGAGGAGGAGGAGGAGGAGGAGGGGAGGAGGAAAGGAGGAGTAAGAGGAGTAGGGGGAGTAGTAGTAGGAGGGGGAGTAGGGTAGGAGCAGTAGTGGTAGGAGGACGAGGGGAGGAGAAGGGGAGGAGTAGGAGTAGTAGGAGGGGTGGGAGGGGGCCGAGGACTATGCGCATTGATTGATTGGTCTGTGCTGATTGATTTGAAATTGGTAATGAAACTCGTTATGATTTTTTTTAACCGGTTCTTTTTTGAAAATGTCTCTGCACAATGATCAGACGCATAAATCGAGAAATGGAGGACAGAAAGAAAGGGTTGGCAAAAGGGAAAAAGGGGAAGGGAAGGGGGGGGGGGAGGGGCAGGTAAGGAGAAAAAAAGCTAGATGCTT